CTTCTCGAATGACTCCGTCTTGTGTGCGCAGAATAGCGTGCGGCCTCATTTCACTCTCTATCACCTCCAAGTCCCAAACTCGAGCCGCATCGTCTGTTGACGTGCTGACTGCCCGTTGATTTGCCCAGTCCACAATAGCGGTCCGAACTGAACCCGGATGAGGCAGGATTCCTTCGCATGTCTGCAGCCGCACATTCCAAATCCGCATGGTGGCGTCGCAAGAACCGCTCACAGCCATACCTTGCTTCCAGTCCACCGACAGCGTGGAGATTTGGTCCGTATGCGCGGTGAGCTGTCCGGCCACAACACCCACAGGATCTGCAGTCACCTTCCAAGCATATATGTTGCCGCACGAAGAGCCAGTCAATGCTGAAACTCCATCGGACTGGGACGCTGCGTCATGCGCAACCACACGTGTCCGATAGGCATGTTTCGTGCCAAGCTGTCTTACTTTCCAGCCAGAATTGCCTGCATCTGCATTGGCCGCCCGTCCACCTTTTTTCGAGCGAAGGCTCTCAGTTGCCTGTAGTGATGACCATGGCACTTCCCACAACAAAACATCCTGGTCCAGGGAGATGGTTGCTGCCTTGATGCACCGGCGATCAGAAGCTCCCCAGTCTACTGAAGCCCATACCACTTCTTCGCGGTGCCCCGGCAACGTTCTGGACACATTGAGCCGTCCAGACTGGCTCTCCAGGTTTACCTCAGCACGCGTCACAAGACATTTGCAATCTTGCGTGACATGCCAACGGGACTTGCCACGTCTGCACATTCAGTGAATAGAGACTCCGCAAAAGGATTCCTGAGGCATGCCCCACTCAGGGAGTTGTGAACCCTTCAGATGGCATGGACAACGACCACTGTAGAGGGTTGCTGCAACTGCTGAGCGTGCTTCGACTCTGCAATCGCAAGCACTCTCTCTAGTCTCTTGACAAAGATGCTCTGAGAAGGTAATGGTGTACATGTGTTTGCGCACTCCTAAGCAGTTCCGGGTTTCATGCACACACGCATGCCGAGTTCAAATGTATTTTGCAAGTGAGAGATACTAGAAAGCGTTCGCTGACTAAACAATATGTTGAGAATTTGAACAATCACGTTCACTCACCCAGTGGTAGGTTTGCCTCAAGCAAAACTTCATTTGCCCGTTTCGAAGGTAGGTCATGCCATACCTCAAGTATTTAAGAATGTGCTGAGTCATGTCACATATACCTCCGTTGCCATCTTTGCCCGTGCTTTGGCCGCGAATCTTGTCTGGCGGCTACGTGCAAAACGCCGTCCGGAGAAGCGGACAACGCCAATGGCCCATGCTCTCCGGCAGCGTAGCGCAGCGCCTGCGGGCTTCCGCCCACATCACGGCCGCTGACGGCCACGGGACCGGCCAGCTGTCTCAAGTCCCAGAGCTCCAAGAAGGATTGGCGTGTACAAATCAGGGCGCGCTTGGCATCGAAGTCCGCCAGTGCCGCCTTTGCCCACACGTGGCTTCCCTGGCTTTGACACACTTCATCCAAGGACTTCTCCCTACTGACATCCCAAATCTTGATGGCAGCAGGGCTGGACTGGATGACCAGAGCCAGAGTTTGGCCTGGCATCGCCGCATCTTGGAGCCTTCTTGTCCCTCTTAAGCCATGAGTCTGCGATGCTTGCAATCTTAATGGTACCCCTTGACTGGTGGTTCTAAAGGCAAACCGGAAGGAAAACTACTATGTTGGGGTCCCCCTGGAGGGAAAAAAAAACACCCATCTGTGTTAACACCACTGATGCGATTTTGAACGACGCGCGCGACTCTTCTCTCTAGAAGCTAGCAAGGCAAGTCATATGTACAGGTGAAGCCACTCGCCAGCGCTCACGTGCTACGTTGCTGCATGAAAGAAGAGTCGCAGGCTCGCAACCGGGGCTGGCCGTTTGCTTCGCCGAGCCACCATTGCTGAAAGGCATATGACCAGCACTTTGCCCATGTTGACCTTGTAGTGGCTGTTGAGCTCAATGACATCATCACCTTGCAAAGTGCAGCTCTTTGCTTTCAGCGTAGTGCAAACAGCCCGGCCTGCTTATGTGCAAACAGTAAAGGCGATTGTTGGTGGCAGTTGAACACGTGCCAGCACAGTGGCAAAAGCCTCGGGAAAAGACTTCCTGTGGTCGAGACGGACATGGCACATCAACAGCACTTCTGATGGCTCCGAAACTTGGGCTGGCACACTCCCGAATCGCTCCTGGCGGAACGACCTGCGCATTCCAACAAGAAAACTGCCCCCAAGGACGGCAAACTTCACGATTGGTTTAGCTTTGCTGAAGGCAGCAAATGCCTGCAACCGCAACTGCCATAACCATCTGTTTGTTGCATGCATGTCTGATTTGTGTGTTCTTGGATTAAGAAACCGGGAGAAACAAGACCGCAAATCAAGGTCAGACTCGGAAACCCTTAAAGTGGGTTGGATGTGGCAAATCCAGCACAAATGGGTCGAGAATCAAGAATCACCACAGCAAAAAAATGAAGTGCACAGTTCAGGTAGTGAACACCACGAGTCCTAAACCACCCCTAAAGCAGCAGCCGATCGACCGAGCCTGGGCAAACCCTAAACTTATGCGCCAGACCAAAACCAGGCATGAACCCAGGGTAGCTGTGATAAACCTTGTAAAGACCAATGTGTGGTATGACAACAGTTCACGCGCGCGCGCACTGAGTGCCCTAAGTACCCTGCTGCACGCCCAACTCCATGATCATCTTGCACCTGGACACAGCTGCTCAGAGCGGAGACGTGTTGGCGACGACGAGCCCCGGACTGTGAAAGCGGCAGTTCCCAGGTTCATGAAAGTGTAGGTGAGGAGGTGTGTGCTGTAGTCTGCTTGCCTGCGAGAAGTCTTTTGAGCAAAGTCATGGTCAATCACTGAATCCACTCATCACAGTTGTGATTGCTGAAGCATTCTGACGAGGCTCTTGTAGAACGCACACTTGGACAGCTTCACCGTATTTTCGGAATGGTCTGAGTTGACCATGAACACCTGACAACTCAGTGCCTCATGCACTGCTGGAACAGCAACTTGGATCGTGCTGCCTGCGGACAGAATAGACCAGTAGCGCTGCAGGTTGTTGCTGAGGACCTCACAAGCAAATGCTTGCACCGAAAAAAAGATTCAAAAAAACAGAGACTTGAGACACATGTACTTGGCCGCAAACATGTCCAGCGTCAGAGATGTTGCTGCCCCAGCCGTAAAGGCAACTTGAAGCGCGGCATCGCCCGCAGAAGCAACCTCTGTGGAACGAGATCAAGGCGAATGTACAGAGGTCGGAGGCAAGGACTTGACAGCTGGTCGCATCCGCCGTGAGACTACACCTGGCACATGGAAAAAATGCGTCCAAGTTGTTTTTTCATGCCCTGCGCACGTGGTGCTGCTGATCTTGAAAGCTCTCTGCGCAGAGCTAGGCCTCAGAGTTGACAAAACAAGCTGGAGATGCAACTGTAGCATTTTACCTGGGTTCGCTAACCCCCCACCCCCCGATGGTATTGCCCCGCCCGACCGCGCAACCTGGCATAGCCCGCCCCTAACATCCTTTTCGCGCACCGGCATCCCCGGTTGGACGAGCGAAAGAAATCCAAACCCGGCCTCTAAACTCTATGCAACCGTCAACCAACCCTGCACCAACCCTCAACCAACCCACCCTTAATCAGCCCTTCAGCAGCCCTCGAACCTGAAACATGTATGTTTCGAAGTGTCTTCAACATGGCGGCAGCCTTGCTGTACAAAACTAGCATATTTATTGTAGCCTTGGGTAGAATGTGCAATGCGATCTTTAGAAACGATCTGGAAGTGTTGGCATGCTTCACTGCGGGTGTTTTTTGGTTGTTGCTTTTTTTCCCATGGCTACAAGAGTGTACCTGCATGTTTCACATCATTGGCCAAGAGAAGTCACTGCCAAATGCCAAGGCTTCGGCAGCAAGAGGCTGGCAATGACCAAAAGCTGCCTGAAACCAAAATTGCATCCATCTCTCTCGCAAGTGATGGTTGGCTGGCCTACACGAGTGTGTGTGTCTGTGTGTGCGTGTGCCATGTACAGCTAACAGCCTGGTCCAGTCTGAGCAGCAGACTTTTGTCTGACTGAAAGACATAGGACTGGCCAGCCCATCATCCAATTGAGCACATGAAGCTACAGCTGCGCAGGACGGCATCACCTGGAATCCTTCGTACTGATGCCTGCACTGACAGCCACTGTGCAGAAATGCAAGCCGCCCCTTTTTCCGAAGGGGTCACTATCTACACATGCAAATCCGCTTTCCTACTTTAGCAGCAAACAATTTCGATTCTCTCCGCATACATGTTCCTGCTCGCAAACACGCAAAACCAAGGCAAGCAAGAGACCCTATTGCAACTAAACGCTGTCGCAACTTTTACGACTTCAGGCCAATAAGTTTGCCTTCAATTGCATGATGCGTGTTCTGGCCAAGCATCCTGAAAGCCCAACAGATTCCGAACAGGAACATGAACATGAACTGTAGGAAATTCAAGCGATTCAAGAAGCATTGCCTGAAATCGCTCTTTGCCATATCGGTGACATAGGTGCAACCAAAAAACAATGTCTGACAAATTCGCACGCTGCATTTTGAATAGCGCAACGTGCACTATCTCGAAGTTGCCCTGTCAGCTTTCTGGCACATCTACTTATGCCAAAGCTATGTTTTTATTGGGTGTCTCTTTCTTTAGGGGACCCCCAAAATGGCTGTGTTCCCTTTGGTGTCCTTTTGTTTGAAGCATTCGCTCCACAAAGCTTGTCTTCTGCGTTGCCCATACAGGCGAGCGCTGCGCAGTGCAGCATCGCTCGGCTGTTTACCTTGGCGAGCAAGCAACAATCACCAATTCCTCAGGCTTCTGTGACCACTCGCAAAGAAGCACGATCAACACAACAAGAAGCAAGTTTGGATTGGAGACGGCGCGTAAAAAGTTGCTAAGGGCATTGCTCGATCTTTGCTGCGGTTTAGTGTGTTTGACTTCTTGTTGTAAACGTCTCATGACCCATCTACATGGGAAATGCGCCCACACGCACACAATAGATCAAGGCACAACGATCTTTTGATCGTGTTGAAGAAGTCCAAGAGGGGTCTGATTTCTCGCCGTTTGTCTGGCTTCTCCTGCGCATGCAAACAACACCAAAGCCATCCATCCAAAAAACTGTCCTGAAGGATGGGGGTAGTCAGCTTCTCTTCAAGAAGCAAGAAGTTGGATTTTGCCTTCGATCCGGCCACATCACATGTGCATTCAACTAAGAGAGCTTTCTCAGAATGCCAGTTGTCTGCGTTCAAGCACACTCTCGGCTTGTGGCATCCGGGCTTGGAAAGAAGTATTCCCACTCTGTCCTTGGCATCGCTGCTCTTGATATGGCAGCCACACATCCAAGCAAAACTCTGGGTGAAGAAAGCCATAAGGCCACAACTGGAAATCCTCGTTGTCAGCCATAGCCTGACAATCCCACAACCGGCATCAAAAGTCTAGCCTCGTTAAATCTGTGAAATACATCATGCAAGTACTTTGCTCCATCTGCATTCCGTCGCCAACGCTAGGGTGCCAACCGACAACCCATCTGCCAGGCTGTGTTTCAGCTCCTCAGGAAACCTGGTTGGATGTCGTGCCGGGCTTGGTACAGTGAAATTATGTTGACTGGAAGCCACTCCAAGGTCGGCACTGATCTGCAAAGCGCAGGTAATGGCCAACGGCCAGTTCCACCAGTTGGACATCCCTGCTTCTTGCCAGAAGTTCTGAATTGTTCAGTGCCTGTGCATTGGGCATCATTCTGCCTTCAAACGCTCCGGTCATGTTCTGAAAACATTCATGCAAGTGAGAAAGCAAGAAAGCAAGAAGGCAAAGCAATCCAAAGCAAACGCAAGCAAAGCACAAGCAAAGAAAAACAACAACAAAGCAAGCAAGCAAGATTTCAACTGGTGCTGAGGTTATCAAGCCCTGCCTCTGCATGTCGCATCAAAGAGCCGAAGTAGTACCTGCTAGACACTTGTCAAACATCAAGCACGTCTTCAAGACAAGGAGAAGCATAATCAACACAAACGTTGTTTTTCCGCATCACACACATCGCTCCACTGCTCCTCTAATACTGCTTCATTGCAGCAGAGTCCCAAAGCAGAATAGAAAGGTCATAGTTGAAACAACGTGTTCAAGACCGGACTGAAGTCGAAGCCCCTCCGATTTACACTGTAAAAGGTCGGAGCACAAAATCACTGTCTCCTGAAGTCTGGCGTCACCCGGGCTCTCCATCGAAAAGCAAGACTGAAGAATGTATGCCTTAATCCACACTACTGAAGCCATTGCATGCCAACTTCACGATCGCCGGGTAGTAAGTGCCGGGCACAATGCTCAATAAGCAAGGGTATGTCCATCAGCTGCAATGTTTCCACCTTGGCATGATCAAAAAACAACAATTATCATGCCAACAGCCTCTGCTCTGTTAGCCATTTTGCAGATGCAGTCTTCAGTCTTGGCCCAACACATGAACGAACGCCTTTCGCAACAGCGTTCCAAGACACTCCTCAAAAGGACTCCCATGGCAACTCAAGCAATCAATCGGGATGCAACTACAAGCAGTATGGCACAAGCCAATTTGAAGCTCTAGCACACAGGTAAACAACCTGCCCATCCTCGAACTGGACACATTTCTGTTCCAGAGTCGATTCCGTAGATTCATAGGCCTGGCGTACCAGGATTTTTTTAGGCCAAAACTGAGCACTGCGCACCTTGGTGGCTTCGTCCATCGTTGCCTGCCTTTCGGCGGCATTGTACTGCCACTTCTTGTAGTCGTACATCATCCTGTCGAGCAAAAACCGCCATCAGGGCAGCCGCGGAAGCAAGCGCAGTGCACCTTGCGCGTCCCATTTTCCCAAATCCTGGGGCCTGAGGCACAAGTTCACCTTGGCCTCCTCCACCAATATTCGAATTGCATTTTCATGGGCCTCCTGTACACAGACAAGCTGAAGGCGCAAAATCTAAAGAGCTTTGTATCCAGCCTGATCCCACAATGTGCCGCTTGAGTCTCGATCCCGGCCTTGAGTTTCTAGGACCTTGCATCCAACAAACGCGAACTCCACAGACCAGACAGCGATACAAAATCTGAGGCCAAATCCTTTGGGTTCGCCGGCATTCTCCCCTCCAGCTGCACCTCGAGAAGCGAAACATATTTTGGCACTCATGCCAAAACTTGGCAAAAGACCAAGCGAGAGAGCTGCTTCAGCGAGTCCACCAAAGAGATCCACCTCGACTCTGTTCGTGTTTGAAAGTGGGCTCGGACAAGGGCTGTTGCAGTTCCTCGAGTTGTTGCCCAAATCATGGTGGAATCCCTCATCCCTTTCACCCCGTGAACACACCGCCACCCCCGCCCCCACGAAGCCAACCCTACCCTAAACGCACATCCTAAAACCAACCCTGAACCAACTCTAAGCCAACCCTGAACCACCCAAAAAACCCACCGTAAACCAACCCTAAACCAACCCTAAACCAACCCCAACTAACCCCAAACCAACCCAAACCACACCTAAACCTTAAACCAACCCCAAACCACACTCCAACCACCCGCCCTACCCCACCCCCACCGCCACAGGGGGGGAAAAATAGTAAAAGGAGAATTCAAAGAATTATTCTTTCTACTATTTTTTCTCCAACAGCAACACAACAAACAGAAAACAAAATCCAGAACAACAAGCAAACAAAATAAATAATCACAACCAGCAACAAAAATATTTAATCACAGCATGCAACATTAAATAATTCAAACAAGCATACCAACAAAACAGCAACACTCTAAATCATCAAAGAACCCAAACTCAAAAACACACATCAACAAAAATCAAAGCAACATACCAACAAAAAATATCACAAGAGCATCAAACAAAACAAAAACAAACAGCCAAAGCACGAAAAAATTGAAGAAGCATGCCAAGTCTAAACAACGCACTTTGAAAGAGATAAGCAAATTATAATAATTCAATCTTTACAAACGATAAATATATTACAATTATAACATATAATATTTTACATGTGATAATCATAGTATGATTATAATTTCAGTACAGGATAATAATTTAATTGATTTGTCTTACTTCTTTCATACATCATTTTAAAAATAATATTAATATCTCTCAATGTATTTTGAACATTAAAACTTTTACTTTCAATAAATAATTTGATATTTTCTTTAACATCTTCTCCTTTCTCTTGACTATAACACAACATCCTTAATATATCATCAATCATACCATATTTGTTCTTAGGGATTTTAAGAAACTGTTTAATATAATCGTAAGGTGGTATTTTATTTACAGTTAGAAATATTAAAATCTCATCTTCTACATTTCTATTATGTCTCCCTTTTATTCTCAACAGACATTTGATTAAAACTTGATTATCTCTCCATTCCTGACAAATTTTACATTCATCTTCTTCATCCATTGAATAATTAATAATATTATTCAATATTTTATTAGGTAAATTTAATTTATACAATTCCATATTTTCTTTTTTGAAGTGACAACAATCATAGCATTTTTTATTGATATAATTATTGATTTTATCACCGTTCATTTTCCTCTTATTATATTAAGGCACTATTTCTTTAAGTCATTTTTAAGGCATTAATAAAAATTAAGAAACTAACCATAAGTATAGTAGAATTATAGCATATAATATTTTACATGTTATAATTATATTTCAATTAAGAATTAAGGATTTAAGATAACAGTCAGGCAATATGTCTTCAAATATGTAATCTACATATTTATCAATATCACCAATGTCTATATATTTGATATTGTCTTTTCCTATTATTGAATAAATATATTCCCAAAAGAATAAATACAGCAATAGACATACTTTATATTTAGTGTTGTAGTAATACCATACATGATATTTAGTTATTCTAAATTCATTCAAGACCTTGTTTATTTTATCTTTGCTTCATAAATGCCAATCAATCTCTTCAAACAAATCACGAAATTCTTTAGCAAATGATTTATATGGTTTAATGCTTAGTTCTCCTCCAAACCTTTTAATCAAATCTTTATTATTAAAAAACTCATCAATTTCTTTTTCAAATGACTTTCTTACAATTTTATGACAAAAATATACAGGAAATCGTTTTTGATATTTCATAAAGAATTTCAATTTTAATTGAAACTTTGTATATCCCTTATCCTTATATTCTTCAACAAACAACTTTTCAAGGTCTCTTGTTATACAGCATTGATTACAATATACATCATATTCACTTATTTTATTACACAGATTAGCAGGTAATAAGTTATACAATGTAAAATTAATATCATTCTTTTTATTATTACAACATTCACACTTACTGTAATTAAACAGTGTCATTTTTCCTCTTAATATATTAAGTCAATATTTCTTTAAGTCGTTTTCAAATAATTTATTTTATAATGGCCGTAAGCAAGTGAGTTTACACTATCTATCCAATATTTTTTGTTTTCATAACTACTAAGAGCAATTTTTTTAGTTGCTATACTAAAAATTCTGTGGTTTTTACTTCTAATACTATTAAATGACTTATGTATAACCTTATTAGTTTTTAAAACCGTCTCAAACTCTTCATATTTCATTTGACGTCTTACTGTGCCTTTTGCTATGCCCTTACATTTCTTATATTTTTTATCATCACCATAAACTGAGTAAGCATAGCATTTAGGACGAAGAGCTATAAACCCTGTTATTAGTTTACTTTTTAATTCATCCTTAAATTTACCTAATACTTTCTTGTTATTATCATCATAACATTTATGTTCCTTAGGGTAATCTGAAAAATCTAATTCTTTTTTATTTGTATTAAGGTCTTCATAAATGTCATTGGTTTTAGCATGAAATACAAAACTATCAGTATCAGTATATACCATTTTAATATTATCTCCATATTTAGGCTTCATAACGTCATAATAAAATTTATACATGTGTTGCTTACTCAAATCTAAAATACTCATCCCAATAAATATAGGTTTGTCTAGTTTCAACTTTGTTTTTTGCTTTTCAACTCCAACCAAATTTTCATTAATGATATGACTATGTTTGAAGTTAGGATTACTTACACACTTCATATATCTAGTTTCATCACTCACAACCTCAAAGTCTAAATGTTTTCGCTTATCCTCCATTGTTTTTCCAAATATGGCATTGTTCATCAATTTGTAAACATCTTTCTCAAAATCATTTCTAGCATGCTTCAAATAAAATTGTAAGGTTCTTATATGGATTACATATTTTTCTTTATCATTTAAATTCAATACTAATTTATTTGTTTTCTCATCCGTAGGTTTTTTATGATTTAAAAATTCATAAATTTCAATTTGTTTATCTGACAGCATGTCGGCTTTAACATTCATAACCTCAGGTGCCATTGGATAGTCATTGTGTAAATCGTGTAATTCTTTAGGAAATTCTAAATCCACTTCTAGAATATATCCAATATTATTATTTTTGTAATTAATAATGTCTTCTTCTTTTAATGTATCATCCCATTTTAGATTTTTATATGGCAGTTTTTGTATCATGCTTAACCCGTACAAATTATTAGCATCAAAATAGTTAATATAACTACTTTCTTTGTTTTTATCATATTCTTCTCCCATGTATTTATTATTTGCTTCAACTTTTTTAGTAGAAACCATACACATCCCGCCTCTAAGTCCCGCTTCTATCATTTCATACATTTCTTGGTCATATTAAATCAATCTCTACACCAGTCATTTTAAGCATAGCATCAAAAGCAAAGTTAGGCAATGTATAATAATAAGCAGGGTCCAATCCATAATATTTCATACATACATCTCTAAAATTTTCGAAAATGTCAGTCAATAATACTACATCAGTTTTCAAATATAAATCATGGTATTCACCCATATTCTTAATGTCGAAATGCTTCCATATAATTTTTGCCCTTTCATAGTCGTTAACACTTATACCTTCTTCAATCAACTGACTATAAAAATCATCCTTACTCGGTAATTGCTCATCATCAAATTTATCAAATGAATTCATGTAGTCATAAGGATAAACGCCTTTATCAGTTAATAAATCTAGACATTTCTCACTCTTAATCAAATCATTTTTACTACTGAACCTAAAATTATCTTTCTAGTTTTTACGTAATAACCATTTACTTTTATCTTCTTCATCTGTATTATCATACTTACTCATTGAAACTAACTTATCTAATGAAGCAGTTAAAAACCCAAAAGTGTCTTTAACACTCAAACTTTCAAAACTGATATTAATAAATTTTTCACTGTTCTGAGCGATGACACCTATTTTATTGTTGTTACTTAATTTATCCGCATTTTGAATAATTAAATGACCATCATAATTTTTCATGTTATGAAAAAATACTGGAATTTTAAAATATCTATTACAAAAATTAAGATTGCAAACATTATGAGCACAACCTCTATACTTACCTGTAAAATGACAATGGTCTCTAACTTTTCTATATTTCTCTGCTTCCTTGGCATTCTTATAGTTCATTCTAAACTTATCCCCACAAATAAAGCAGTTTTTAGCATTTTTAAAATCTTCTTTGTCTTCATCAGTCATATCTATTTTTTTGTTTTCTCCCATCTTCTCCTTTACTTCTGCCCTAATGTCATTAAGTTTTTGACAAAACACATCAACAGCATCTTTACCGCGATACATAAATTCATAATTTGTATTATCAACAGCATTAACCATATTAAGCATAAAACCACATGGCTTATGCTCTTGATAAGAAAAAGTGTTTTTATCTTCATCTTCATCAGGTTTTTTCAGTTCCTCTGTCAAACATTCAAAATCAGCATATACAACAAAAGGACACCTTAACTTTTTGAAATGATGCTTAAAACTAACTTTCTCATAAGGCTTAGGCATTACTATTTGTTGACCATCAACTTCCATGCATCCACTATCATAATGTTT